AAAGTCGACCCTGTCCTCTCCTGTCCATAAGTCCATTGATAAAAATAAAGAGAATATGACCCCAAATCATGCCAACAACAATGGCAATATAAATAAACCCACACTCCCCACGGTTAATAGTATTGTCACTCAAAACGTTCGAAATAGCACCATGGCCCACACTGATAACCGACGCCACAACAATGCCACCATCAATAGTACAAGTGGTAATAGTCAGAACTCGACCACCAACAACTTAGGGCATTCACAGTATGGCACACAAATAAATTTTGATCGGATATATGGTACAAGTCTGCTGGGAACTAACCCACAAAGCAGTACACACGAAACCCTTACCAGGACACAACTAGTACCTAACAATAGGTCGAATAATAAACCATGGTCTTCACAAGGTCCCAATCATTTTTTATCCCCTGCGTCCCTGTCAGCGTTGAAAAAACAGCTGGTAGGGATGCTAACACTCCTAAACCGTTAATGCTGGCTCCCCCTTTGCATGAAAATAGGAACAGTCTAGTTCACCCGCATCCATTAAGCACACCTGATACATGCACAAGTCTAGGTCAAATAAAGATCCCTACCCACGTTTCCAGCTTAACTGAAAATAAAAATGCCTTAGCCTATAGCAAATCCAGTACTCCAACGCTTAATTCTTCACTGAAAACGGCACACACTAACTCGATAGACATAGATGAGCATGATATTGAAACTCCTCTTAACATAGGGTCATCATGTCAAACAGTACTACTGGGTGCTGAACCATACTCGGGGCTGATTAACGAACTTAAATACTTCAAATGCTATTTCAAATCTCATCTCTACTTAATCCTCATAAATGCTAGATCTGTTCTAAATAAACTACCAATGCTCAGAGCACTCACAGTAATATACAAACCCCCTATAATTGTCATCACTGAATCCTGGTGTAATTCGAACATACTGGATGAAGAGATAAGCTTAGATAACTACACACACTTTCGGTGTGTCAGGGAAGGTGGTAAGGGAGGGGGTTACCTCATGTACTTTCTGAATGCACTTACTGCATCACGGTTAGAAAGTAGCACACTTAATATGCCTGAGACTTTATGGGTTAACTTACACTTAAATAACGCAATAGTATTAATTGGATGCACCTACAGAGCACCTGGTATCTTTAGTAATTACGAGACCCGACTTATTAATACTCTGGAACAATTATCCTCCCTACACTACGATCATCAGATCCTATGTGGAGACTTTAACTTACCAGAAATCAACTGGGTAAAACCCACAGGCCCAACTAAATTTGATAAGTTCTTAGGCACACTGGATATACTTGGCTGGAAACAGACTGTCACAACACCTACAAGAGGTAATAACGTACTAGACTTAATCTTCTGCCACAATTTAAGTCCCCTTTCTACCCTAGTAGGTTCTGAGTTTCCAGGGTGTGACCACAAAACAGTGCTGTGTGCACTGCCACTTCCGTCAAGTAGCAATGCAGCCCATACCCCCACTTCACAACAAATAACTTACAGGAACTACAGTAAGGCAGGCTGGACTCTAGTAAAATCAATGCTAAGATCCTCAGAATGGAGAGAGTACTTCTATACTGATAGCCTCTCGAAAGCTCTAGACATCTTTTACCATAACTCCAACACATGCTTAGATGCTGTCATTCCACTCCAAACACTTGAGCTTTTCCCACATGTGAAGTCATTCATAAAACCAAAGGATCGTATGAAACTGAAGAAACTCTCAACAAGTTACTTCAAACCCCACGACTTTGGCACACTAGGTTTAATACTAAACACCCTTAATTCCATCTCACAAGCTCGAGATTTGCGTATAAGAAACGAAGAACGCACCGCAATAGTCAGTCCTGCTAGAGTGTATGCTCTCACAGAAATCTTAAAGAAGCGAAAGAACCGCGAAAATCACAGCATTTCTCTCCTCATAGACAAAGGTAGGCTACGCAGTAATTCTGCAGACATATGTGAACTATTCAACTCAACTTTTGCAGGTAACTACCTTAAGCCCACAGTCCAGTTACTCAATATACACCCTGCTACTAATGTGGCACAAACTCTATCTCCACACACACCAAACTTAATTAGTACTGTTGAATTTAACTATACTAACATTAAACGAACTATAAGAACCCTAAAATGCTCGAAAGGTTTCGGTACTGACGGCATATCATCCTACTTTTATAAATATGGGGGCCCTGATATTCCCCTATTACTACTTAAAATATTCATCTTATACAAGCACTGTCAACGATCTAAAATGGCTTTTATATAGCTTTCTACGTGTTTATCAACCTACTCGCACGGAGCAACCATGCAGTGACAAATGGCGGGCTATGGGTGACTTGAGTGCAGTAAAACAAATCTGCTTGAAATTGACCAATATTAATCTGCATTCAGTTGAATTCACATCTGGTATTACTTGCAATATAATGATGTCGAAATCATAAAAATAAATCACTCATTTTAATTTAATACCCAATTTGAACATAAAAACAGGATACGATGCCGCAAACAACAAAGTTATATGGAGGAATTCACTTCAAGCTTTATTTTTTCCCAAATATTTGTAATTTATCCGACACATACTTGGGATTTTGTTAATGCGAAGACAATATTTCTATATTTCTTTATGTGCTCCATTGAACGACTAACTATCAGAATGTGCTCACTAACTGATGTCAGAGGAGAGCAACCATGTAATTTCACTATAAATCAAATTCATGTAATTTAAATAATATTTATCCATGCCTGCACAACTGGTGTGTCCTATATTGATAGGAAATATATATTATTATTACCCGTCTCATCCCTCAGAATTCCTTAATTAATAACTAGATCTGAGTGGCCACCTCACACTGTGTCTCAGAGGCCTTACGTTGGCCTCCCCTCAGGAATGACTTCCGGAGAATTTCGGCTCGAAGAAACTTCAACGCCACGTTGAGCTTCAAATCCCCTGCAGTATCTCAGCCAGATGGAAATTTTGGGGAGCCGACATAAATACTATCACTTCTACAACCTAACCAAAAACTAGTTTATAAACCTGGTTTTTCATCTGGCTGCTATATGGGGTCAGTTCGGGCAGTTTTACACCTGGGTAGCCTGACCGTTCATCCCATTATCCGTCTCAAATGGCCGAAAATAATGTCCCACGATGGAAGAGGAGTGACTTAACCATGGAAAGTGTTTTCGTGCATGAGCTTGAGGAATAAGGTATTCATCGGAATCGCAAATGAAGTTACTGGGGATAGAGAACATTAGTAGTATTAGCAGCCAACTCCTCTAGGGGTTTCATGAATAGGTTGCCATCACTCGCAGTACGAACCGTAGCTACACCACAAAACAACGAACTAGATACTGTCCCACTTGTATTCCACTCCCTAGATAAACTAGAAACAGGCGAATCAATGGGATCCGATGGCGTCCTTCTTCTCAAAGTGTCACCGGCTCCCACAGTCAGCTTGCTGTCTGTTAACTTCATGCCATATCTCTGGCATGCAGTGTTGACTCTCATTCGGAAAGCCTCTCACTTAGAATGGAAGGACCTGGCCACTGTATTCCAATCTGCAAGTTCGCTAGTTTCACCAGCACACTCATCCTGACGCTGGGGAGAATAATAATAATGTATATTTCGTACAAACAAGTAAGTTTACAAGAAATGCATTCAACAATACAATCACGACATATGTGGAAAACAATAGCTTGTAATCCAGCGTGCAGTGTGATTCCCGGGTAAATCTGACAGGATTACGGGAATGTGCTCTGATGAGCAGTACATGTAAATGCAACAAAATATTAGGGTTATTTGGCGAAATATGTTAGGACTTATCCGGTTAGTGGTTCTGATCTACTGACTCTGATGATGTGTCTTAAAAGCACAAGAATGGAAAGCAAAACATCATCCAGGCCTGGCTGGGTGCGTACCCGTCAAAACGGAACTTAAAAAACAGCTAAGGTGTCTACAGGCAGGCCAGACGTTTATTTAGTTAATATTAAGTTGATTCAATCTGATATGTTAATTTTAGCTCTAAGTCAATTTTGTTACCGTGGGAGGTTCACTACACATCCCAGGTGACGTCAAAACTACATAAATGCATACAGCCAGTCAGCAATTTTCCAGTAGAGGACTAATGTCTTCTAGAAGATGTACGTATCCTGGTATCATCAGTTTGCCATACGAAGGACTTAACAGACTAAATAAATTCTCGTGCAGACATTCTCACAATACTATCGAATTTGTTCGTTTGTACCATCCGGACTTATTATTAGTGATATTATCTCTTTTCTCAATATATGCCTCCACCTGTTTCATTTCCCATATTCGTTATCTCATTATGAACCTCCCATTGCAGTCTTATGATCTCCTGTTTAACACAGACCACTTTGTACTAGCCACTCACCTGACACCTTTTATAACCTTGAACTGACTTGTCGATTTTCCTACCCCACACTCTACAAATCCATTATGATTAATCACCATTGTCTCCCGTTTTACAATATTTTGTAATCGAATTCTGCCTAGCACGTTTGTCACACAAATACGACTATTTATTTTGACACCCCATAACTAATCTGTTATTCTACGTTAAAAAATGTATCTGCCGCATAACTGGCCTTTATTGTAACGACAACAAATATTATATTTTATAATTGTAAGAACCTGAAGAGAAATTATTGGAGAGGAATATTCTTCGTTCAGATTGACTTTTAATAAATAATATGGGAATTTTCCACACCTTCAAATCTAATTAATTTTAACTTTGTCATTGCTTCTGTAGGAGATCCTGTTTTCTGGAATATTACCTTATATAGATAATAGCAGCCTGCATGCCGTACCAAGAATAGATTCCGTAAAATACCACTTTCACAATGGCGACTCGATAGGAGACGGGTACTGAAATTGTTTTTAATCAATTCATGGTAGGTCTGATTGAATCCTTTGCTTTGCCATGGTAGGTAATAAGATTATTGATAATTTGACATCACTTGTTCGGACCGTTTGGTAGCATGGCTAGGGTCGTACTTGGCGGTGAATTCAAGGTAATTCCAAATGGACGGGGATTTAGGTAATTTTGGTATTTGGGGGTGGTTTTGGTGCGTTGCGATAGCAGTGACATTGCGAGTGTCTACTGATATCTTTCCAAACATACAGAGCGTAAATGGGTACCACGAAAGATGTAAAGGATCACGCAAATGTACGTGAATCGTGTGCTACTTATAACACGTGCCTGAGGGTGTGGTTCCAGAGATTTTTTACAGTTTGTTCTTGTGTGGTATAAGTTACTGAACTGAAACCTTGGGACGGGTCACCAAAGCTAGTGACCTTACCTGAAATAGTCAACGCGAATGGTACTTCTTCCGTGTGGGGTAAATGCCAGTTAAAAATGCTTGTATTGCTATTGGATGAGGTAATCAGTGGAAATCTATTCGTGCACTACGGGGTATGTAGCATTTGGAATGGCCTCAGGTGATTCATTACTGCAACCTTAAAGTCCTGACAGTTTCATGATATTGGTACTGACATTCTATTCCATAACTTGGTTGGTTGTTACTAGAGGGGTGTAGGTCCCGCCGTCGTTTCAGGATTTGTGAAGACTGGTCACTGGTGGCTTTTGCTAACTCTTGGGTTCAAGCCCTGCTCCATCTGCTTCAGTATAGACACTACGTACTGACTGGCTTCGATGTAGGACTTAGCATAGATGTGCAGCAGTTCGAGCCGCCACACTCCACTCCATGTAGCACACAGCAAGAGAAGAGAAATCCCAAAAAGGGAGAGATAATAAACCTATACAAGGCAAAAAGAATATTAGTATCGAAGAACGACAAAATTTTATTGGATATTGTAAATCACAAAGAGTGAATGCATCTGTGCCAGCCGTTGAGAACGATTTTGAGCCATATCACCAAATGTCGCCAGCCTTCATTGGTTCTTACCATCTCGAAGACCCCAGCCAAGAATTCTACACCTCCCTCTGTGGCTGGCTTAAACTAACTGTTGCGGACAACTGGCACGTAGCCTGATACACTAGAAATGTGTTTTTCTGGATTACTGAATTCCAGCTTTTAGTGACGTGGCCTGTTTCCACACACCGGCATCGTGATCCGGAATATCAATAAACCTCACGAACGTATTGTTTTTCACTTTTGTCGTCTACCGTAGTAACATTCTGTTCACCATTAATGATTGACTTTTCCACTTTACCGAACATTCGACGTGTAACCTCAGTATTCAACTTCCCGATTAAATATTAGGACATCCTTTGGAGTACAGTAAAATCAGTCTGACAGCCTCGAATGCGATTGGAATGTAAGAGTTTTGTATGCCACCAAACGTATAAGAGGAATACGGTGGTTTTCTCCGGTCGATCAGCTGAAGTGATATGAAAGACTTCTTGGCGAGTTTTCATTATGCTTTCTTATCAGGGAAACAGGTGACAAAAGGCAAATGATAAGCGAAACAATCTCAGAGAAAAATGGCACCATAATTAGCTCCCAAGATAGACGACTGGAACGCTGGAAAGAACACTACGAGGAGCAGTTTAATTGGCCTACAGTCACACTTAACTTGCCGAACATCCAACATCTCCCTGAATGGGATATAGACACAGGTCCTCCGTCCTTAACTGAGGTTACTGACGCTGTCACTAATCTGAAGCAAGGCAAAGCAGCGGGACCTGATGGAATGACTCCAGAGGTATTTAAGTACGGTGGAAACAGTTTACTGTCTGCATTAACTGAGGTTCTAGGCAGCGTCTGGGAATCAGAGGAAGTCCCATCGGGTTGGTGTAAGTCACTGATCATCCGGATATACAGGAAGGGAGACAAGTCTTCTTGGAATAATCACAGAGGGATTAGCTTGACTAATATAGTATCTAAAATCCTAGGCTCAATAATACTGTGTAGACTAAGTGGTGCTCGGGAGGCACAAACAGGAGAAAACCAGGCAGGTTTTAGGCCAGGAAGAGGGTGTATTGATCATATCTCCACCCTTCGACAGATTCTAGAACATAGTTATCGCCTTCCTCGACGGGCAATGTTAGCTGATATAGGGCCAGGCTGGAAAAGAGCTAGCGGCGGTCAAACGAAAACATGGTACCAGTCAATGAAATCTACAAGTTAGTCTAAGCCACGTAGGAAGGTATGGACTTCCTGGTTGGGGTCCTCGGGACGGTAAAAACCAATGGTTGGAAACAATCGGTGACATGGCTCAAAATCGTTCTCAATGACTGGTGCAGATGCATCCACTCCTTGTGACTTATGATTTTCAATGAAACTGTTTTATTCTTCGTTATTACTATTCCTTTGTCTCACACCTCTGTCTACTGTCTATATTATGCATTTCTCCTACTTTCTTTTCTTGCTTTCTGTGCTACATGGAGTGTGGCGACTTGAACTACCGCAAATATGTGCAAAGTTCTATATCGAAAACCGACCGACCGCGCTTTCTTTGCAAAGTATTGTGTGACTGATTAGTTGTGGGATCCGAGGGAGTGTCTGTAGGTGGAAATATCTTTGTCTGTAACTTAGTGAAATGATTATCTATGCTTGTTTACATGCATCAGCACTGTAATTTCGAAAAAGTATCGTTGTATGTCCACCAAATAATGATGATGTAATCACCGAAGTTCGTTTCTATCTCTATCACTCACTTATCGTGTATCTGAAACAGACTAATATGTGATGGGTTTTAGAACATCTTTCATTGTATATTTTAAGTTTGGGAAAAGTAGTAGAGTTTTTATCGGGAGGTGATGTCGAAGTCTCCATGATATTTCTTCTACCCCTCATAGACATGAACGCACCATCAGGGCTCTTAGATAAAGAGGGGTGTGTGTGTTTCAGTTGATCAAATAATCGAGTTCTCTCGGAGTATTTCTTATAATTTATCTTATTAACCTACATTTTTTTTACAGATATCTTAACCTGACATGTAAAACAATGACCAGCAACGATAAAACTCCTTTTGATGAAGGAAATACTAGTGAAGATAATCGATCGACTGCTTCACAAGATGGCGATCATGGCAGTACAACTCAAGAACATAACCCACATGCAATGGGAAAAAATATAAAGTAATTCACTAAATTTTAAAGATGGATAATATAATTCTAATTTCTTAATAGTGAATACCAAGCACTGATGAGTTTTATCAAAGGGAATATTGGTACTGGTATATTATCTATGCCAGTTGTTTTCAAGTATGCTGGTTTGTGGGTAAATTTTTCTTTGCTTAATTAGTGCATATATTATGTATGTGTATTGTTTTAGACTGGATTCGTTATGTTAATAGTGGCTGGATTTGTATCAACTTATCTAATGCATGTACTTTTGAGAACAGCAAATAAAGCTCAAGTGAAGTATGTTTTAAGTCGTGTATCGATCTGATTCTATTAAATTATTATTTTATTAGATATGGATGGGATAGATCTAAAATGGATTATGCAGAGGCGGTATTTGTTGTGCTTAAATATGGTCCAGAGAAATTGAGAAAAATCAAAGGGAAAATAAAGTATTCATTTTTTTGGCATAAATCTTAAATACTTTAGGCATACAGTTAATGGTTTCTTAATTATTACACAAGTTGGCTTTTGCTGTGTTTATACACTGTTCATTACGGAGAATATTCGATATGTAAGTTTGTAAAGTGAATGCATTATGTTGATGTCACTGTATGATTTCTTTTACTTTGAAAACTTTAGAATATAGTATGAATTAATACTTAGTTGAATATTTTTGGAGGCAATCAGCAGGAGGCCTCGGATCTAGGTCTCGTGTTTCTTGGAACTCGTCAACAAGGCGTATCTGCAATAATCTCAAAGGAACTCATATCGGCTGTGAGATTCTAATCTGTGTCACACAGCTCTGGAGTCAGAGATAGACGTTACTGCTGAGCTGTTCAGGCTTGCGATTGACCTCCTGTAGGACTTTATTAGATACTTTGATTGGACACAAAATAGTAACTCGCATTGAGTCTCAGAAGGGACATGAGATCCTTCAAGATTTCAGAAATGCGTGGTTGGCGAGTTTCAGTAACTCACGGAACCCAGGTCCAAGGCTTCCTGCCAATGGCCTTAAACTGGCTAACAACAATTCATAGTACACTTTGGAGAGCCACTTAGAATGCTGGCCATATTGCAAACTTGATTGGTAGAATTCAGTCTGCATGAAACAAAGGACTAGACTTATAATAATGACACTAGTTGCTATCTAGTTTTCAATAAGAGTATAATATGTCGTTGATATTCATTTCACTGAGGGCCACAATCATTATTGACATTGTGTAAAGCAAAGAAGAATTGAAACATGAGATCATTCCCCAATAATGATCAGGTATTCTTTTACATTGTTATTATTGTCGATAATAAAATAATAAGTTTCAATCGATCACATAAATGAGGCCTGTCAATTTTCTCAAATTTGACCAACACAACTCTTTTTTAAGGACTTTATATCAAGAATTTGGTGGTGGTAAAATTTAAATGGTTTTGTGAAACTAAACAGACATTAGAATTGCATTGGTTTACAAAACTGGAACAACAGTTTATGGTTTTAAAATGAGTGGGACAATATTACTAATAGTAAAATCATAATTATAAATATGATTTCGCTACCGCTCGTATGATTTAGATATAATAGAGAAGATTTGTAGCTCAGGTGGATGATTTTGGTGTGGTTGTGTTCTCTGAGCTGGATGGTTTGGTTGCGAAGCTTTCATTGCTCTACTGAGCAACATCTTCAGCGCATACTTCGATGTGAAGTCGAAGTATGCGCTGAAGATGTTGCTCAGTAGAGCAATGAAAGCTTCGCAACCAAACCATCCAGCTCAGAGAACACAACCACACCAAGATTTCGCTACCCCTCTCATTTCTTTGGTGGGATATACACCAATAAGGAGTCGATGAAGAGTAGCTCTTTTAAATTTTAATCTGTGAACTGGTGGACCACTTGTTTGCCGAAAAGCACTTACCCGTCGCTCTCCCATTTCAAAAGAAATATCGATTTCACGCATAGTGCGTACTGTGAACAACTTTAGCATAAGGAATGGTCAATAGTATGATTCTCCAACAGTGGCGAAAATTAGTAGTTATAGGCGTAAAAAGGTGACACGAGATTGATGTTCTTTCTGGCTGGTCAGCTTCTGCTTCCGTAGAGCGTTTTTGTAGTAGTTGGTTGTATGGTGTGAATTTATCCAGCGGGAAGCGGTCAATTATTTCACTATGGTAAGTCGTTTGTATCTCTAAATTTTTGAGCTAGATCAAAATCCATAAATGTTTCTTGAAAGTAAATGAAGTGTGGACAGGAAAGTCTTCAAGTGTAGTGTTTTGAATGTGACACTACTCATCCTAACTAGTTGTTTTGTTTTGACACGAATTAGTTTTATTTTTGCCTAGGTTTCGTGCTTGTTGCTCATCGTCAGCAAGATGTATCTATAGTTTTGAAGGGACTCATGTCCCTTCTTGGGTTCGAACCCGTGCCAACCATTGCTGCAGCCAGAGATGCTACCACTGAGGTACTCTGGCTTGTGATTGATCTCCTGTAAGACTGTAACAATTACCTTTAATAGATACTAGGAAGCACCTTACGTCGTGCACCTAGTTCTTGGTGTTGTTACAGACCGAATTCTATCAGGACGTTAGTTATTACCTAGTGTCCAACCAAAGTATCCATTATAGTTCTGCAGGAGGTCAGTCGCTATTCTAAATAACTCAGTGGTAACATCTTTGACTGCAGCAATGGTTAAGTCGGGTTCAAATCTCATGGGAGTATGAGTCCCTTCAAAATTTCACTTACACCTTGCTCATTAGTGAGTGCCAACAACCACGAAACCTAGGTCCAAGGATTTCTGCTGATTGTTTCCAATCATCTAACAACAATTAAGGGTGCACCCTAGTGGTGAACGACAGAGCGTGCTGACCGCATTGTAAACTTGACCGGCAGAATTCAGTCTGCGCTAAAGGAATGACTGGACGCAGCACAGTTACTCCCGTGTCTAGTCAATTATATATATATATATATATACATGTGTAAATATCGTGTGGTTCGTGTTGGTACTATTTCGATCATAGATGTAATTCTTTCCGTGAGTAAATATCCGTGTTTTCTTTACATGAGTTTGTGCACCGGTTTTGTTTAGAATGAAAACCCCGATCTTTTAATGTACGGGGAGACGTGCCTCACTAGTTTAAACCCTCAGGCTGCAGTCATTGCGTCCAGGGTCCGAATCCTGTTCCATCCACTTTAGTCGCCTGGTTAGCATCATCAGCCTTCATACAAAATGCATGTGGTCCTAGACCTTGAACATGAAAAAAAAAACTTTTCCTGAGTAATTGAGTTTAAACAAGCACCGAGTTTAGGTCTTTGTTGATTAATTAGATTTACACGCTACACACTACTAATAAATTGTATAAAACATTCAATAATCCTTTCATTTATTTTAAAAAATATTTTTTTTATTTTACAGTTTTTAATATATTTCTTTCCGCACCTTAATACAAATATCTACTTAGTTGGATTTGTTGTCTGTTTAGTGCTAATTGTGATGAATTTTAAAAGCAGTATGCGTGTAGTCACGTATTTATCTGCTTTGGCCAATATATGCACTATTATCGGTATGCTATTAATATTTGGCTATTTATTCACATCTGGATTATACCCAGTCAGTAAATTTCCAATTATCACTGATTTCAAAGGTCTACTAATTGCATTCAGTATAGTTATGTTTTCATTTGAAGGGATAAGTTTGGTAAGTGGAATTATTATTATTATTATTATTATTATTACTGTTATTATGCCGTTATTAGATAATTCAGTTTTCCTGTTACTTAGTTTACTTCGGCTGTCTCCTACGGGAGGATAAGCCGGCTTCATGAACATCTCGTATCATCGCTGCCCAGGCGCGGCGAGAGTCGTTTGTAAGAGAGTTCATGAAGTTTCATGGGAATTTGGTACGAGTGATGTCCCCAGAATCGCTCGGCCTTTTGTTCGAGAGTGCAGCTCTAGCCTTTACACAACCAAGTGTGACCTACAAGGCAGTAGGAGTGGAGTAGGGAGTCCACTATCCATTGGCAGCCGGTGACCGGAGTTCGGTTCATACGCCTTTTTGAATGGGGCCAGACATCCAGGGCATGCAACAAGCCCTTTGTCCATACGTCTGCCGGTGAGCTCCAGTGAGCTTCATACACCAGTCGTTGGAGGTTTGGAATCAGGGTTTAGCCATCTCCCCTAGATTGTCATCCAATGGACAGTCAACCCGGTGAAGATTGACTGTTCTTTAGACGTATGTGTGTATAGTTAGGCAGATGATCAGGAGGGCTTTACGTGCTTATGGAAGTGTGTAGGCGATTCTTACTTCCCCGGTTGCTTACACTGTGGAATTTAATTTCTTCTTCAAATACCTAAGATAGGAAGAGAATTAGTCTTGTGTGACTACAGAACTCCGGAGATAGTTAGTTGCCTGAGGCTGGTCATACTCGGTTTGTTTGAATTGGTTTTCGGAATTCTGTCCATATTTTAAGGTCTTACTGTCAGTTACGCGTCGTTTCAAGGTAAGTCGGAATGTGCGACTTTTTGGGTTGACTTTTTCTAACTTCACCACCTCTTCCTAAGACCAACATCTGAGAAAAATCCCCCTACTGCAGTTAAATCCCTATTTCCCAACAGTACAACTTTGCTCACAGTCTCACAACATAGTGTAAACAACATACATTTTGATGGTAACTGCTGTCAGTTTGACCGTTATTAAAGCGATCCTCACGAACATTAGTTCCATCCATGTAGCTCGTTGGGCTATTGCGATTAGTCAGCCTGACCACCGTGTGAAGGTAGCAGCTCTCTGTTGGGATGTATATAGTTTGATTATTATTATTTCCTTTAATTCCTAGAGAAACATAAGGCTTCACCTGCACGTCTCCATTGCGTTCAGTTCTATGCTAAAGTTTTCACCTGGCTCCATGTCTGCCCACACGTTTTCATCTCCTCTTCACATGACCTCCTCCAAGTCACCCTTGGACGACCAGCTCGCCGCTTCCCTTTCGGGTTCCACTCGAGCAATGGCTTGTCTAGTGATGTCACTTGATGGTTTCCTCAGAGTATAGCCAGCCAATCCATCTCCATTTCTTCCTGCCTATTTTTTTCACAATCGGTTCCTGGTTGGTTCGCTCCCAGAGATCTCTGTTGCTGATCTTTTCTGACCGGCCATCTGATCTTCAGTAGTATTGAGCGAAGGCAGCTGTTGATGAAGGTCTGTAGTTTGTTTGAGGTGTTCTTTATGACGCGCCGCCAAGTCTCTGATCCGTATAGTAAGGTAGCAGTGACTTCACATTGGAGTTGAAAATCCAGATCTTATTTTTGACGCTGAATGCTGTTGACCTCCACACAGACTTGAGAGAAATGAAAGCTTGTCTTGCTTTCGCGATCCTCGCTGCTTTGATATCCTCATATAGGAGCATACATTTGTTTGCTTAGCGTCAGTGGTTCAAAAGTAGAATACCTGCCAACCATGCACGTAGTTTGGGTTCGATCGGCGGTTGATTCACTTTTAAACCGCCCAGTTCACTAGACAGTAGTAGTAATCTGGGAAAAGAGGGAAGATTAGATTGGAGACTAGCAACACGATTCTGTAAGAACAACATGATAGCTACTGAGATTTCAAAGGACAAAGCTTAGTGGAAGCATATGTCCCACTCGGAACACAAAGAAATGGAAGAGATACGTGTTCGGTTTCATAGTGGATTGCGGTAGAAAAGGAAGTGAAGCAGTAAAGATTAGGTTTAAAAAAACATTTGAGCTATTGTGATTGATTATGAGTCATATCACCTAGCTTTCAGTCAATCTTTCAAGTGATTACGCAACCCCAGACATTTTCCTACACAGTTCATGCTACTAGTAGATGACTGTGTGGATTGGTACTTGTTTTGATCTGGTCATCCGTTGTTTGACCGCATCCGTATGTTTGACATTTTCATTCTCTCTGTAGTGCTTCAGTGTATTGGGCATTGTCTAACTAGCAGTAATCTCTCGCCAGCCCCACGATTACCCGTCAGCTCTCATATCACACGATCTCTGTGTCACTCTCGGACGCCCAACTAGTCATTTCTCATTTGAGTACCCGTCTTGAGGTTTTCTCAGGTTGTGTTCAATTCATCCTCATTTTCTTCTGCGTATTAGTTGGTTGGTTCATTACAGAGTTCTTCGTTGCTTATCCTTCTTGGCTATCTAATTTTCGGCATGAAGTAGAGGCAGATGTTGGTAAAAGTCTGCAGCAGCTTGTTGAAAGTGCTTTAGATGACGCGTAAAGTCCCTGAACCATATCACGAGAAGCATTTACAACAGACATATATATATATTTATATATATACGTGTTGCTATTCTTTCTCTACTTTTGTGTTGTATGTGGAGTGAAAGGTTGTACTCCACTTCTGATTGAGTCATCCAGTCAGTCAGCCAACGACATATTAACCCGTATCATTTTGCAATAAAAATGACCCCCTGTTTTTCGTTCTAACATCATCACTCTGAATTGTCTGAAACCATCTAGAGAAGTTCAGACTTCAGTTATACTTCGTTATATTTTCAACTTTGTCAATTTGCTAACCTCAATGAGGATCATCTCATCATAGTATCACCTACCTCAGAGAGATTTCCAAGTTGCTGTGCTTGTGTGCGTGTCTGTCCAGTCCTCTGAACACTGCATTAAAAAAAAAACATATTTCATTACCTATACACATAATAGCTTGATTTTGTTTGACGAAACAGTGGTTAGGACGCTCGCCGACCATGCACACATGGTCCGGGATTCGATCCCCGGCCGGCACACACTCGATATCAATGGTCGGCCTGCAAAATTTGGGCTATCAATATCACATGCTGAAAATTTCATACTTGGATCAAAAATACGGTGTGGAGTCAAGCTATAATAAAATAAAAAAAGTAAAAAAAAACTAAAATAAATATCCTTCCTACAGCTAAGAATCTACAAAGTAGCTACTATAAATTAAATTCAATGTAGTTGTCGCGTAATCGACCACGTGAATCATTTCTTTGTATTGTTACAAATGTATCTGTGGTTGTATGTGGCTTATGTTTATAATAAATTTAGAAAATTCAAGACGTATACATTAAATGCATACTTGTGTATCAGTTCACCACCAGCTTAGGAACACATCATGTATGGTCTGTTGGTTTGTATCGAATTCACTGATTTCAATAGTATTATATGTATATGTATATTGTGATTTTCTAAGCCTAAATTTATATATTATTCTGCATATATATATATATATATATCTGTCGACTGCAATCTTATAGCACGTGATTATTTACGTTATATTCTCAGAGCTGATACTACATTTTTCACATTTGTATTTTTGTTGTATAGGATGCAATTTTGCATAATGCATATATATATATCGATTACGTTTAAACTGACAAGTATAGGTAGGAGGTCTCATACATTCATTCTTGTTACTGAATGCTGTAAATTATATCTCCATGGGTTACTTCATGTTGGTGATTGACTGACTGACTGCCTGACTGGTTTCAACGTAGAACTCTGCACAGATGTGCAACAGTTCGAGTCACCACACTCTCTCCGTGTACCACACAAAACGCAGAGAAGAGACTAAAGAGAGATTCTAAAGAGGGAGAGATAATAAACAGAAGATTTTCAACCATATCACTACCAATTGTCTCCAGCATTCATTGGTTTTTACCATTCCCAGGACCCCAACCAGACAGCCAACCAGTCTTCACCTCCCTCTGCGGCTAGCTGGCGTAAACTAACTGTTGTGGACCTCATTGACTGATAAAGCTACGTTTTGGCTTGACTACCACCACCACCACCACTAGCTCTTTTCCAGCCCTGATCCATTCAATGTCAGGTAGCACTGCCTGTTGAAGAAGGCGATGGCTAGGCATGCATGTGTAAGTCATGTCCTAAACCATCTCAATCGATGTAATTTCACAACCTCATTGATTGATTGCCCCTCTCACTTACCTAGTACTCGACCGATGTCTAACCTCAATGTCGCTCACCTTATTATACCAGCACTTAACACGGGATGTAGAAAGAAAGCTAGCCAGCCTTAACATGTTTTTCACTTTCAACGGTCGTCTCACAGTCATAGAGGATGAAGAAGCGGACTGCTGTACAGTACACACATCCTTTGGTCGACAACCAGCAGGATATCACGTCTACTAGGCCAGAGATAGCGTAAGTTGGCCAATAAATGGCGAACGAGCCTTCTGTATCCGTGCTGAGACTTCGTCAGCGATCAACCCAATGGCGTTAGGGCTGGCTGACTCAACTTCCCAAATAAGTGAGGTGGTCAACATGCTGCACTAATCATTTCACTCCTGCCTATGTTTCAGCTAAGAGTGAGTGAGTCGATGTAGTTCAGTCCCGTAGTCTCATCGTCTTACATTTGACAGGAACGAATCATATGCCAAATATTCGAAGATTGCTGCTCAAGGTGTTCAGAAGATTATGCATTTTGTCAACGTCTTCACCCAGGTGGGGGGGGGACTATATCATCTGCATACGCCAAGTCAACGAGTCTATTATTCCCTGGTGGGGGAGCACGTTAATCCCCGAGTCGCTGAAGTCAGCAGTTAGGGTTAAGTCCATTAGTGGTACATCACATGTGCAAGTCTATCTGGACTGTTTAAGTTTTAACAATAGGATACCCCAGACTTTAGTGTACATGCAATAAAAATGAACATCTCTGTGTCATCTTTTTAAGTAGGATGGATTGTCTAATCATTCATCTTTCTTGTTTTGTAATATCTCTGTTTTGGAATCTTGTTTGTAACTATCTGATGTTATTAAGAAAGCATCAGAAAAGGCAAACATACAAATGATTCCGATATTAAATGCAGTCTGTCTGAATGGTTATTTAAAGGATATATAACCATTTCGTTCCAGCTGCGACACATACATACATTCACATTTATACTGTACTAATTCTGTTTATAATATTACATATTATGTAACAATAGTAAATCTTAAGTTTATTTGTTTTTTTTATTTAAAAAAAGCGGTGAGTATTTACTTCTGAAGTGATTTTCACTTTGTGTGTGTTTGTGTTTCTGTACTCTTCATTAGCAGCAGTTAAACATTGATGTGTAGGTGTAGATTATAGATTTTTTTGTCTAGGGATTTGAATTAATAATTTCAATGTAGATTTCGCTACAAAGTAACATCAATAAGGGATCAAGACACTGGAGCACGATTTCATCCTAATTTGGGGCTTTTCAGCAGTGCACACTTATGACTTCATGGTTAGAGATTGAATCTGAAACCTTCAGGTTCCAACGAGCATCCACCCACTTAGGTCGCGATTCGATGACTCATCGAAAGTATTGCTTTGGAGGGGGAGGGTTTAGCGCTACATGACACGTGAATTGACAATGTTAGAATTCACCGGTGTCATTGAATTCCGGTCCAAGCGATTGTGAATGGTCAACGAGATTAGAATTGTAAGCTGAAAAACCCGCCCCCCCTCCTATCTTTGAAATTCGGATCGAGGATGTGCACTGATGAGGAGTTGTAAACTCTGGTGAAACTGATATCCAGTGCTCTCTGATTATCACTGATCGCTGTAACTAATGTTGCTTCGTGACAAAATGTACACTGAGAGCAATGTCATTTGTGCGGTAATCAGGTTAATTATTTCTCCTTATACAGAGAAGAAGATTATTGTACAATTTTGTGAAATTTAAGTCTTCCAAGAAGATTGATTTCGTCATTATGTGTGTGGAGATTTATCAGGCGCACTTGTTTTTCTTCTTGCTTTCAAGCTTTAAGTTGCCCAAAGGAATTGGTTAATCGCCAATTCAATTCTCACTGGTTTTATACGACAGTATAGCGAACTTGATGTGTTAGTTTTTTTTCAGGTATATATATATAAGTTAAATTTGAGTATTAGTCAAACTGAAAGTCATATTCAAATAAAATACGTGGCAACTCGAACTGCTGCACTTCGGTGCCAAGTTCTATGTTGAATCCAGCCAGCCATATTCAAATAATGGATTTCTTCACTTCTTACTATTGTGTAGTTCAGTTAAAAGGTCTCCTAAGGTTGCGGGTTCTAGTTCCTCTTGGGATGGTGAAGTGTTGGTCTACTTTTCGACACAGGTAGATCTATGCATGTCACTAACAGGGTAACCGGAAACTGCCGCCGCCTCCGCCGCCCAAAACAACATCACTACCATCACCACTAAGACATGTCTACAAATGAACTGCTCAGGATCCGCATCCATTACATAACATATATATCAATACCCCTTACTTTTGTCACCAAGTTACCCTCACTTCTATGCGTTGTAGGTTCAGTGATTGAATATATATTGGCCTACCATGCACACAGTTCGGGATTCGAGCCCCGGCCAACGCATTCCTAAACCTCACTTAGCTGGTAGTAGTAAGCCCAGAAAAGAAGGAAGGTTGGGCGTGAATCTAGCAAGCCCATCCCGTAAAAAACTCCACTGCTGCTGGAACTTCAGAGCTCAAGCTTGAAGCCGTATGTTTCACACCTAACGCGGAAGAATACCTGTCTCTGTCTGGATTCAACATACAACTTGGCACCGAAGTGCAGCAGTTCGAGTTGCCACGTTCCAAATAGCACACAAAGGTAGACAAGAAAATGTGAGAAGAGAATCAATAGAGTTTTGACAAGTATAAGAGTGAAACAGAATGAGTAATGGTAGAAAGGAATATGAGACTGAATATTACAGAGACTGAATACATCTGCGTAAGCCATTGACAACGATTTTCAGCCATGTCACCTATTGTCTCCAGCCATTGATTCTTACAGTCCCGAGGGCGGGACCCAACCCGGAAGTCTGCATCTCCCTACCTGACTCAGTTTAACTGTCAAGTATTTCATGGATTGATGAGGCCATGTTTTTGTTTGGCCACCACTTACTCTTTTCCAACCTGCACCTATATCAGCTAGTGATGTCCGTCGGGGGAGGCGATGGTTAGGCATGTTCAGCACGTGACCTAGCCTATTCGATTGATTTTCCCTGTTTGCCCAACACTCTACGCCTAACTTCAACATTACTTACCTCATTATACCACCTAACATGGGTGGGAAAGAGATCGTAGACATCTATGATCAAAAGCAGTCAACCTTTTCATGTCTTCAATAAATAAGAATTGAGGTGTAGAGGGTTTCAAAGATAGATTTATAGAATACTGAAATTGACGCCCATTCACACTATTAGTAATTCTGTTGACAAGAAAGATAACATTCATATATATTTGGCATTTGTGTTTTAATGACACTTTTCTGTTTTATTTCCCATCCCCCACTCCCACCCCCCTACCAATATTCAAGGTATTACCAATTCAAAGTAAAATGGCTGATCCTATTGGATATGGATCATGGTTTGGTGTTCTTAATGTTGGCATGATTATTGTTGTTTGCTTAAATTTGGCAATTGGATTTTATGGATTTTTAAGATTTGGTGAAAATTCAGAAGGCAGCATCACATTGAATATACCACAGTTTCCTTAGTAAGTCTGCTGTTTTAGTTTACCTTATTTGTTTTTTAAAAAAAAATTTATGCTTGTATTTCCTGTTGATTGATAGTATGCATATATATATATATGACCGAAATGTTCGATCTGTGTTGTTGACATGTCAGCTGTTAGTATGGATGCTTCATTGATGATGTTATTTTGCGGGGATGGTAAATGGCAATGGAACCTAGGGCATACACTTATCGTCCTATTTTATATTCATCAGCTATGTACAGTATAGCTGTGGTGTTTGAAATGATAGGTGCTAGGTTCGAGTCTCAAAGACAATTTTGGCAGATTTACGTTGTGGTTTGCCTTCATTGTGTACTCAAGGAGTGAACTAATTAGTTGTTTTGCATTGTTTCTCTTGATATTCATACTGGATAGTTGTAGGGTTTCATCATGAGCTGATATCGGTTAGAGAAACATTGAAAAACCAGCCGGGAGTGCTGGCCAGCTGTTTCGTCCTAGTTTGGGACTCTACATAAGTGCGCACCCACCGCCAAGGTCCGAACCATAGGACCTTCTGGTTGCAAGGCGAGCTAGTTCGTAGACCGTTGAGCCACTGGGACCCCATCCTGTGGTTCATGGCTGGGGTCCCGGTGGCTTAATGGTTTACGAGCTAGCTCGCCTTGTAACCAGAAGGTTCTGTGGTTCGAACCTTGGCGGTGGGTGCGCACTGATGAAGAGTCCCAAACTGGGGCGAAACAGCTGTCCAGCACTCCCAACTGGTTTTCCAATGGTTCTCTAACTGATGTCAGCTCATGATGAAATCCTCCGACCAATCAAACAAACTCCCTACAGAACCAATACTTAAATTAATATCCGTTAGTGTTTAGGGATGGGTTTGGAAAGTGTGCTGTTTATGTGGCCAATATAGCTGTACAGGAGCGAATGAATTATGAAGTGAGGTTTTTTGCAGTTTCTTTTCCATTGTATCGTTGATGCAATTTCTTTTTATCTTTACAAGTTTCTTCCCTTTATGACAATGGGTATGCAAGAATAAATTTCAGATAATACGATTTATGGGGAGTCGGAATTAAATTGAATTGTTAGATTTTGCCTCATTAGTGTGCAAACATGATTTCACTGCCAGGGACCGAGCCCAGTACGTTCAGGTGAAAAGACTGAGCTCTTTGATCAAACAGTCGCTATTGCTGGCATTCAATGGTCCGTCATTCAATTCACCCCCGTCAAATGTAAGATGATGAGACTACGGGACTGAACTACATCGACTCACTCACTCTTAGCTGAAAGATAGGCAGGAGTGAAATGGTTAGTGAAGCATGTTGACCACTTCACTTATTTGGGAAGTTTCATAAGCCTCAGAGCCAATGGGTTGGTTGCTAACGAAATCTCATCACGGATACAGAAGGCTCGTTTGGCCTTTATTGGTCAACTTACGCCATCTCTGGCCTAGTAGACGTGATATCCGGCTGGTTGTCGATCAAACGATGTGTGTACTGTACAGCAGTCCGCTTCGTCCTCCTTTATGACTGTAAGACATGGCCATTTAAAGTGAAAGACATGTTAAGGCTAGCTAGCTTTCTTTCTACATCCCGTGTTAAGTACTGGTATAATAAGGTGAGCAACATTGAGGTTAGGCATCGGTCGAGTAGCTAAGTAAGTGAGAGGAGAAATCAATCGATGAGATTGTGAAGTTATATGGATTGAGATGGTTTAGGACATGACTTACACATGCATGCCTAGCCATCGCCATGTTCAACAGGCAGTGTTGCCTGACATTGAATGGGTGAGGGTTGGAAAAGAGCTAGTGTTGTTGGCGGTGGTGGACAAAAAAAACGTAGCTTCATCAGTTAATGAGGTCCACTGTCACGTAAGGAGGTTGAGACTGGTTGGCTGTCTAGTTGGGGTCCTGGGAATGGTAAAACCCAATGAATGCTGGAGACAGTTGTTGGTGATATGGTTGAAAATCCTCGTTCTCAATGTGATGGCACAGATGCATTCACTCTTTGTGATTTATGATATCCAATAAAATTCTGTTGTTCTTCCATATTACTATTCTTTTCGCCTCCCTTACACTTCTGTTTATTATCTCTCCCTCTTTGGAATCTCTCTTTACTGTCTTATCTGCGCTTTGTGTGGTACACGGAGGGAGTGTGGTGACTCGAACTGTTGCACATCTGTGGAGATTTGTACGTTGAAACCAGTCAGTCAGCTAGCCAGTCAATGATCCGTGAATTCGAACTATGTCAACTCATGATATTGTGCTGCGCTCGTTAGTTACTTCAATGCAGAATCCGCTTCACCTTGACACCGTGGGCACCACTTCAACTTCAGGAAATCTATTCAACAGTCGACAATGACTGTCAGACTAGAAATTGTGGGGATTTTTGATTATTTTCAGTTTTTTATATTTTCATCATGAAGTAACTTCAGTTAAGAAGCTTGGTATCGTAGTCTAAAGGTTGTCTGTTTTACCACTGATGGAGTTATGGGTGCTCACTGATTAAGAGTCCTTAAAAGGGGCTAGACTGGTGTCCAGTGCTCCCTGGTTCTCACTGATCTTTCTAAGCGATGTTGGTTTATGACGAAAATCTGATAGTAGATATGATAAATATGCCACAAAATTTTTCAACTGTAGTTTGGGAATCATCAGAAAACCAGCGAGAATTGAACAGCTTTTTCGTCCTTACTAGTGACTGGCTCTGTACAGGAAGTTACATTGGAGTTCTTAGTGAGAAGTTGAGCAAATCAGATACTCGTCTACGATATTGACTGGCGGCTGCATCACATATATATCGCGAATTGGCGGAAAATAGAATTCATGGGTCAGTGAATCGTGTCCGAGTGGCTGAATGTGTCTACAAGCTCGCTATGCAACCTGAAGGTTGTGAGTTCGAACCCCCTGTGCGCGTGGGTGGATGCTGATGAAACTGTTATATCTTGGACGAAATGTCTGTGTGTCTGTGTCGTACTTCCTGGTGTTTCCATTGCTTCTCTAACTGATAACATCTCGTGATCATATCTGCAATCGATCAAATCCGTGCACACCAACACTTGTGTTTTTTTCCACTCATTTCATCTTATCTACATCATGGTGACTCAATAAATTTGTTACTTTTGATTACAAATGTATGTAGGGCGTACATAATTTACATCTAACCACCACAGACTCCTTTACATTGTTCTCATTGTTTTCCATATAGGCGTAGTGTGAACAATTTCTTTGAAGTTTTATGTATCTAACACTTTTCTGCATTATCTTATTTTGTTTGTTTGCTCTATTGCGTCTAATGTATGTAACAAGTTGTATCAAATGACAATATTTCAAAGTTTAATCTAGTTCGTTACAAATTAAACTCCGTGCGAAAACAAAGCGAGATTAAAGGGTACGCTATATACTACTACACCCTGCCAATTATTATCTTTGATCAGTGTAATTCTGTTAATGACACTGTAGTATTGATTGTTAATTCTCATATGGGTAAATTGTATTTCAGTAGGCACTCAACAAGCTTTGGAGCCTGTGACCTCTCATTTACAAAGCAACGGTGTAGGCCATTCAGTCACTGCGACTTCATTTAGTAGTAGTGGCCTGTGAATTCCTATTGCTACCAGTACGTGACCACCAGGCACCAGGTAGTGTCATCGGGGGAATATTTGTCCTATAGACAGACACGTGGCTACCACTGGTCACGACTTTTCATTGGAACTCCAGTTAACTATCGCCTGTAGACGGTTACTAGTAAGTATCACACTGATTTTCAAGAGTTAGAATGAAGCGGGGGAACTACAGTTTTTGCAGAATAAACTGGCATACGTAACACATGTCCTGACCATCTCAGTCGATGTAATTTCACAGTCTCGTCTATTGATTTTCCCTCCTTCCCTAGCACTCGACCGATGCCTAACCTCAATATTGCTCACCCTATTATACCACTTCACGCGGGAGATAGAACGCAGACACCTATGATCAAAGACAGCTAGCTAGTCTTTTCATGTCTTCCACTCCCAATGGTCAGTTCTCACAGCCAGCCATAAAGGAGGACGGAGCGGACTGTTGAGCAGTACAGACACCCTTTAGTCCATAGTCGGATATCGCGTCTACGCCAGAGACGGCGTAAACTGGCATATGTGAAACTAGCCCTCTGTATTCGTGATGAAATTTCGTTGGAGATCAACCCGTTGGCGCTGATGGTACTTCCCAAGTAAGTGAAGCGGTCAACGTGCTCTACCACTTCACTTCCTATATCTAATCTAGGGGTCGGTGAAATCCAATTCTGCAGCATCATCTTACATTTTACAGGGGCGAATCGCATGCCAAACATACGAAGATTGTTGCTCAAGGTGTTCAGTAGACTCTGCTCTATTTTGTCAGCGTCCTCGCCTAGAAGGACTATATCGTCCGCATATTCTAAGTCGACGAGATTCTTCCCTGGTAGCAAGTCAATCCCTGAGTCGCTGAGGTGTGTTAGGGTTAAGTTCATTAGTGCGTCTATGATGAAGTTGAATAGGAATGGGGATAATGGGCATCTTTGACGGACGCCACTAGTCGTCACCACTTGAGATGACAACTCGCCATAGGCCCTCACCTGGCTGCATGAGTACGAGTAGAGTGCCTTGATCAGTGCAATGTATTTTCTCGGCATTCCCTTTACAGCCAAGCATCGCCAGGAGACTACATACAAGACGTTATCAATCAGGCTTAGCATACCTTACTTACCACAGATGCATCCGGTTGCGTCAGACAGACTCCGTAGTTCTGTACTCGACGGTTTATCGTTCCCGTGAAGTTGACGTGAGTAAACAGGTTGGATGTCGGCGTCAGCCGCCTGCAGTGCTGCCCAATCAACATCTAGGCCTGTGTTCAGTATAGCATTTACCGGGGAAACATAAGGCGGCAGACGGGAGAGGGCATCAGCGTTAGCGTGCCGAGATCCAGGGCGATACTCACAGGTAAAATCGAACTCCTGTAAACGCTCCTGCCAGCGAGCAACCTGGCCTTCGGGTTCGCGAAAAGTTTGAAGCCA